GTTCAATATATTCGACTCTACGAAAAAACAAATTAAAGATCAATCCCTTTGCTCTTTAAATGTTTTTGAACCACATGAACCAAAGTTTTTGAAGAAATCTGTTGAAATCCCAATTTTTCAAGGAAAAGAGGAAACTAAAAATGGGAAATCATTTTTAAAGGAGCTATCAAATTGTGAACTAAACCCACCGATGGTTGAGGTGGAAGCAAGAAAGAAATCTCGGCCTTACTGGAAAAGGCCGAAAAATAAAATTGAAACAAGGCCAAACAGGGACTTAAAGAAGGATAAAAGGGATGTTCATGATCCCACATAAACAAAAAAGATAAAATAAAAATAAACGTCGTGCCGCGACGTTAAATTAGGCGCTTCTTGGGAGGCAACCCAAGCAAGATATGTTTTCTTTTTCCGTAGTGTGCGTGTGTAAAAAAAAAAAAAAAAAAAAAAGAGGAACCAATTTCAGTACTCGATCGAAGCAACAAAACATTTTAGAGATGCAAGCATACTCGATCGAGTATATGTCAATACTCGGTCGAGTATGTACAGAAAGACGAAATCAAAGGGAGCCTGCCTCCTATACCCTATCGAGTATCCACCAATACTCGGTCGAGTATCACTGGAAAAGCCATTTTTGCACCCCCCTGTCTCCAGCACCCGATCGAGTATAGGGTGATACCCGATCGGGTACCCCTGCGGTTTATACCCATAAAACACCCCAACCCACTTCATCTTCTCCAAAAATCATCCCAAACTTCAAATCCCTTTACCCCAAACTCCATTTTTCTACCTTCTCTCTACCATATCTCCTTCACTTCTCCACCAAATCACTCATACAACAACCAATACACTCTCCTCACTTTTCTCTACAATCCAATACCCAAAAATCCTCATATTTTTTTTTCCATTCAAAAAAGAAAAAAAAAAAATTGAAACCCTACTCCCTACCCTCAAGTCCGAAACCCAAGACCCAAAAACAACATTCAATGACACATAAGAAGGTGAGGGCCGAAAGTATAAATGCAAAGGGACAACGAGGATGTCCGTTTCAACCCGGGTATAACGAAGACAAGCACTAGGGACAGTGCTTCGAGCTAAGTGAGGGGGAGTCACTCATTGGAACATACTTAATTTTCTACCTTGTAACTTGCATTATTTTCTTCACACAAAAAAAAAAAGAAAAAAAATGCTAGTTAGGTTGAAAACCCAAAAACGGGCAATCTAAGCAAAAAGGGCTTCGAAAAAAAAAAATGAGTGAGTGGAAAGGATGAAAAGAAAAAAAAAAGAGATGCTAGGATGAAAACCAGAGAAGACTCCTAGGCAAAATGAGAGATATGAGAGAAAATTTGTTTTTGCAGAACATCATTTAATCTCTTTAAACAATGAAAAGAGGAGAAGAAGAAAAAGAGAGAGAAAAAAAAAGGGCAAGAAGATGGAGCATAGAAGATCGCAAAACCCAAGAAAGAATTTTGTTTTTGGAATTGAAACTCATTTTTTCCCTTGGTGATCTTAGTTTCTTCCTTTCTTGAACTCTTGAAAAACTCTCAAACTGTTTGGATGTTTCTAGTTTACTCGAGGTCGAGTAAAGGACTAAGTGTGGGGGAGTTGATACACTTGTAATTTCCGTGTGTATGTTTATGTTTTTAGCTAGTTTTAATTGTTTAATATTTCGGAAATTACACACTTTTGGTGTAATAGTCATGTTTGTAAAATAGTTGTAATATGTTTAGATTAGGTCCATTCTGAGTTTAAACAGGTCCAAGATCAATCCAATGATCATTGGTGAAGGAAGGTGCAAGAGTACAAGACAAAAAGAAGGCAAAATCCTGATTTTTGACCTATACTCGATCGAGTATAGCATATACTCGATCGAGTATCTTGTTGAGATTTCAAATCGGATCGGATCTGAAAACAAAGGAACATGCAGGGAAGATTTTGACCACGATCGAGTGTCGATACTCGATCGAGTACACCGACATACTCGATCGGGTATGACTATAAATTATACTCTGAATTCGGTCGAGTATGGGTCGAAATTCAAGTTTCTACTCATACTCGATCGAGTATATATACATACTCGATCGAGTATGCCTTTAATTTTAAACCTGAAATCGATCGAGTATACCTCGAATTTGCATTTCTACACATACTCGACCGAGTATCTTTATATACTCGATCGAGTACCCGAGCTGCACTCCCAAAAAAGCCTATAAATACACCCCCTTTCCTTCACAATAGATACCAATTCCTTTATACTCTTAAGCTCAGTTTAGAATAGCATTTCTTTATATTTCTTTTAGCATGTTTAGTCTCCAAATGAGGAGCTAAACTCTTCCATCTTGGTTTTGCTACTTTGAAGCTTAATGAATTTGTAAGTTGTGAGTTATTCTCTTTAATCTTCTTCCTTGAATATTAATTCTTCCTTTAAATACTATTTCTATATTAATGTTGGGGAGTGTTACTAAGATGACAATTAGTTAACATCTTGACATTAGTTATAGTAATAATTATTTCTTCCTCTACGTTAATATTGGGGAGTGTTACTAAGATGACAATTAGTTAACATCTTGATATTAACTATAGTAGGATTCATCTTCTTTAATATTCTTTCTTGAGTATTAATTAACTCCTATTCATATTTCATATTAATATTTTGAACATTACTTAAAGGATCAACTAGTTTTGTTTCATATATTAATTAATACTAGAATCGGTCGATTAATACGCTTGTTATTAATTCGGTCCTTTCATGGTAGTAAACTTAGATTATTAATGCATGCATCTCATGGTTAATAATCTAAGGGGAATTAATTATATTGATTAAACCAATAAACCGCTTGTGTTGAGGTTATCAATCTCAATCGTTTCATCTTAAGTTTATTGCTACTATCAAGTTAATACACGGCGCTTGTTCTATATTGACTCGATAGTAAGTTTTATTAATGAACGCTTCTCGTTATTAATAACTACCCTCGATGAACTGGATATACTCCTCGATTGAGTATTCGAGAGGAAGATAGTTAAAGATATAACCGGGATCGACGAACATTTCATTAAGTGGATAAAAGCAAAGCCAAGTCTCCTTCTTATTAATTAAACCACATAACTCGTTCATCTTCGTGTTTAATTTATTAAACCAAATCGAACTAAAACCCCCCATTTTGTTACTAGTTCTATAAAAAGAAATGTATTCCTTTCCCTGTGGATACGAACCTTACTCCATTATACTACGTATAATTGTTGTATTGTATTATTATTTTGAGTGCACATCACGACAAAGTGCACGTCAATCATCAAGACAAATCTGAGACTGTCCCTAAATGAGCTCTTGGAAGATTTGGGTGTTGATGCAGATGATGATGAGAGTGTGTTGGTGACTATAGTTCCAAGGGCAGGATGTGAGGCTGTGAAGATTGGAAGTGTTAAGATTGTGCTTGAGGATGATTAATTAGCTCACTAATTAATTAATTAATTAATGAGTTTATTAGGATGTTCGAGCAAGTCATTAACTTAGCTTGCATGCTGAGAACGCAGGTTGTAAGACTTTAGTATTTCTTGACTTTAATTTCCGGACGCTGTTACAATAATATTGTTATTGAATTAACAAATACTCCTAATAATCATGTATTAAAACATGCGTCGTTTACTACATAATTTATTATGTACTATATCGCTATATGTATATTGTTTTGTGCTAAGTGTAAGCAAGGGAAGATCCAGAGTTCTGGGATGCCATGGCCTGAAGAGCAACTATGGTAGACTTAAACATTAGTGCGGTGAACTAAATATGAAAAATTTAAAATTTTACATTAAAAAATTTACCTGAGCTTTAATTTAGTCCACCATAGCCCATGTATAGATTCTATCGTTAGTGTAAGGTTCCATGAAAATCATACATTGTTTGGTATGAATTTATGATGGAGTTTCAGAAGTTGCTTATGAATATAGCCAAAGAAAAATAATGAAAGGTGTGTCTAGTTTTTATGTGTTGAGAGATCTATTTATTGCGATGTTTTGTTGATGACTAATTAATATTTGCCAAGTATACAAGATCTAGGTACCAAACATCTTGACTAATTAATTAGTCGTAAATTTTTTATTTTCCATAGTACTAAATTACGGAAAGGATGGGCTACACCATTATCATTTGGAGTGGTCAATCAACAAAAAGCAAAGGAATCAAGAATCTATGCTCAAAAGGAAATGTCTTATGGGTGAAAGAATCAATCTCAAATTAGTAAGCCTCAAGAAATATGTTAATAACATACAAGGTTGTGGACTGCGCACTAGAAAATGATATAATTACCTAAGGAATGGCAGAAGAAAGGTGTGCTTGAAAGAGAGAGAATGCCCAAAAAAGAAGAATTCCGTATGAATAAAAATTAGGGAATCAAGCACCTACGACAGTTCATTTAGTGTTTTTATTCATTGTATTCTTTAATTTCATTATTGTTTTTGGGTTGAGAGGAACAGTTGGACAATGCTTTTCTCTAAGGGTTGGGGTGTGCGATTACAGCTTTGTTGTAAAGATGAGAGGCTCATTACCCATAAGGTAGGCAGCAAGAACTCTAACTAGAGAGGTTAGAGTTGGGGTGACTCAAAGGTAAACTAGGAAATTTTCTATTCTAACTACTTTAAAGGTTTGTAGTGAGGGGTCGAAATTTTTTAATCCCTTTTGAGCCAATTGATTTTTCCACGTTAAATTCTTGTGTTCTTTAATTTCTGTTTTCCATTACCCCACATTAGAAATTGACGAAAAATTGTCATAGTTCTAAACCCATACAATTCACCCCTCTTATGTGGTTCAACCGGTTCATCATTGTTGGTCCGGGTTTGATAGTTTGCGAGTTAGGACTTAATTAGAACAAAGTATATACACACACTTAATTACACACTACGTACGTACCATTTAGCGTCTTAAAATGATATTAATATGTAGATAGCACCAAGAAGTATGATAAAAACATGTAAATACTTTAAAAGTAGAACATGCACGTATGTAAAGATCGGAAGATGTTTTATTACTACGTATAAACGAAGAAACTCAAAGCACATCAATCCCTCTTATTTGCATTTTCTCTCATATACTCATACTACGTATATGCTTATTATAGTAGCTCTTCCGCTCTGCCTTTGGTTACCGATCCACTTATATATTTGGCGGGTACGCTTAATTAATAGCGCTGGAGCGGAAGAGGACGCCCGGAAATGAAAGAGGAGAATAAAGTGAGTGACTCGGCGGGTTTAAATGTAGGCACATCATGTCCAGCTGCTCTAAACGTCACGAATGTTAGCCCTTCATACTCTTGAACCCATCCACTTACCTAATCCAACATATGCATTTTTCATAAATCATAGCATCGGACAATTGTTTAATTAATATGTGTGACGCATTAGATTATATATCTATAGACTAAATAAGAAATGGGGTGGCCGGCATATTAGTTGTAGATAAACCCGATTCTCTACCTGTACACCATATAACAATTGCATAAACTCATTATAAATGTGAAACATTTGTTGCCTTGTGGGCACACATTTTAGCATTAAGACTGGGTGTTTTTTACACCGGGGCAGGGGAGGGGGGCTGGGGTAAGCAAGGCTAAAACTCCTTTCATGGAGTTTCAAACTCGAGACCTCCCGTATGGAGAGTATGTCAGTGACCAGCTAAGCTGGACCGCTTTCTCGACTGACTTTATGAACTCTTCGTTGATAGATAAATGTGTAAATGATATGTATCTAGATCTTCATTAAGTTTTATTTCTGTTTGATCAATGTCAAGTTGGGTGTGGGAAAGAGTAGGACTGAACAAAAAATCAATAAAATGAAACCGATTGAGGCCAAACAAATGAAAATAAAAATCGAAGATAACCAATGAAATCGTAAATGGCATGGTCCGGTTCATGATTTGAGGATTAAGCATGAACCGATTAAATATCGACCAAAACCCCTAAAACCGATCGAAACATGCCAAAACTGAATGGAAACGCCCAAAGTAACCAACCAAACCAAAACCCAACGAAGCAGACTAAATGTAGTTGGTTACATTTACCAAATTACTTTCTTAAAACTGAATTAGCTTAAGGATGTTTTTACTTGGACTGTAATTTGCTGGTCTAATCTCAATTGGTCTGGTCTGGTCTGGCAAAGTCTGATTTCTTTGTATTTTTATAACTCTCCAAGTCTGGTCTGGTCTGGACTGGTCTGGTCTGGGACAAATTACAGTCCACGTAAAAACATCCTAAGTTGAACTGACCTAATCAAATCAACGAATTGCCTAGGAAATACTTTCACAATCTATTAAAAATTTTGACATTGCTTTTTCATAATTTACTTTTTACTTTTTTCATTTTTGTCACTCTTTTTATTTCTCCACATGTTTCTTCCCCTCTCTTTACTTTTTCTACTTTCTCCATCTCTCTTTTCACTTTAAATAAATTAAACACTAGATTCTTTACTCGTGCGTGGCGCATGCTGAATAGTGTATATATTTAACCATGTTGTTACATGGCGGTAACCAGTGGAAACCTAATGAATAGCTCAAAAGACTCGATTTAAATCTCTCAAAATCTTTGGTGAGTTTTAAGAGCGCGCAAGGAGTTAGTTTGACGAAGTTGGGATCGCATGTACTAACAAAAAAACTTGTCATTATATATGTAAATATTCCGGTACATAACTGTTATTACTATTATTATTAATAGTAATAGTACTTTTACTACCGTTACTATTGTTATTTAGATCTATAAGATGTGATTGTTATTTGCCTATGTAAGGATGTTTTTTAATTGGACTAAAATTTTCGGATATGGTCCGTTTAAATATGATTTGATTTGCTTAAATCTGGTCTAGTCTAATACGAGTTAGTATGATCTAGTTCGGTAACCTTCTGGTGTATGTAGATTTTACTTGTATAGTCTTATGCAATAAATAAAGGTTGTTCTTATTTTATTCTGGCCTGATCCGTTCCCATTTTTTTAATTTGCGCGATCTAGCATGAAACTAAAAAAATCAAATTATGATATCGTAAATGTTCCAATCTGCCTTAATTGAAATCCCAACAATTGAACACATTCCAATTATATTATTACTACCAATAACATAATTTCTAGTAATTACTAATAATTCATGTAATTCTTATTGCTTAAGAGCATCTCCATTCATGATATTCAAATAAATGGTTTTTCTATTACAAATTATTGCCACGGGAAAGATCACGTGAGAAGTGTGTCTTAGGTTGAGAAGTGCGAAGATTAATTAATAGAGACAATAAAGTAACTTATATAACATAAATCATAACTTATAAATCCAAAACCTCGAAATCAAAAGTATAATTTTATAGTGATAAATTGAGGAAGTATGAGATTACAATGAAAAACACTAGTAGTAGTTGAAAAATATTTTTAAAAAAGATACTCGTATTTATTTATTTACCACATCACATTTATTCAATAAATTTAAAAAATCTCAAATCTTAAAACTCTTCATTAATCATGATACTCAAATAAATTGTTTTTCTAGACCATGCATTAAATGTAGTTTAACTACAACCTAAAATATTCTCGTATTCAAATATTGATACCGGATTTTGTTTTTCAATAATCTCTCTAAATAATCTCTTATTCACAATGATAATTTTAAAAATAATCTTTCACATCATCCAATTAATTAAACCTTAAATAATCTTAGGGATGGGGATGCCCTAATGGGTGTGGTCATTAAATGTATGATTGGGTGGGATTAGCATTGTGACAAACCTTGTTACGTTGTATTTTATATTATTATAGATATACTACGTATGTAATTCTTATTGTTTAATGTGTAATCATTAAATGCCTGGTTGGGCAGGAATAATATGGTGACAAACCTTGTTACTTTAAACAACACTTTTACTATTTTCCAATCTTTGCGAGAAACCTATGATCTTATCGATGATGGAAGAAGGAAGCATATATATACCACTTCCTCCCCAATTAAGTTTTCACTTTCCTTTTCAAAACATCCCTAATTTAATTTAATTTAGTTTAATTTTCTACTTCTCTTTTAGAAAATATATGTGCTAAAATACCTTTTATCGTAATGAAAAATACATTTTTAATTATTCATTTTTTCTATCATACTTTTGAGGAATGACATCTTTGGAAAGTCAATAAAATACTATTTTGCCAAAAAAAATCGTGAAGTGAAATTATAAACTCAGTCCTTAATCATTTAATTATTCAAATAATCATTTAATTATTTACTACGTACCTGTTTTCCATAATACCAGGGTCTCCATGGTTTGGTAATGGGAAGACTCAATACACCTATGCTGTATCTAGTAGATAGTACAGGGACTCTTCCATCGACATCTCCACTGAGTTAGTAAAAAATAACACCATATATCAGTGTACAAATTTTCACTTCCTCCGTTCTTAAATAAATGCAACGATCAATAGTTTACATTTGTCAAGACACAACTTTGACCATTAATATATATAATTTTCTATTAGTGAAAAAATTTTAAAAATTAGATTTTGAAAATTTACGATTAGACAAATTTAACAATATTTTTTTGAAAAATATATATTCATACATGAATAAACAAAACGTAGTCAAAGTAGAACATGTGAATAGTGTAAAATTCAACATGCTGCATTTATTTAAGAACGGATGTAGTATATAGTGAGTGTAAATGTGTAATAGTTCGTGTATTAAAACTATGTAACAATATGATAATATTCAAACTACATTAAGAATAGGGTAATGGCCCCAATGGAAGTAGTAACACTAAAAAGATCATGATACGCCGCACTACCCCAAGTCCAAAGAATACATATGATAATACACTAGCTGCACCTCCTAATTTGGCCCAATGTTTTCATTTTATTACCTATACTTTTATAAACGAATTGTTGTACATGTATATAGCTATAAATGTATTTAATTACCTGTAGACCCATATTTTAATTCCTGCCGCCATGAGAGTTCGATATATGGGTAGAACAGATTCTGGTGATTGTTCCCAGTCCCACTGGTTGAAGATCGAGTCACTGCATGGATGTAGTATATAACAATTTTTACTTTTTACTTTTAAGCTTGTTCGTATTTATCTTAATTAATGAAGACGTGGAAAATTAAAGTAATTACGTTTATTTTTTCATGTTTATTAAATTATTATTATTACATACTTGCAGATACTCCACTTCTTAACGTGTAGACCATCACTTGCATGGAGGGCCTTCTGGACGTCTCCTCTATTGTAATAAGAAGTGGTGTAATCGTCTAGACACGGGTCAAATCCGCTTCCATGTCGTCGTTTTGGAACCTGGAAAATCAATATTAATTAATATACATAATTACATATGCTGATATGCATGCATAATTTTGGATCTAATAAAAACACCCCTTCCCATGAAAAGTAAGAAGTAATCTCAACCATAGGATTCCTTAATAATGAAATCTATGGTCCTGATTTGTTAACCTACGAGGAGGGGTATTATTGTCCGCCCGGCTACTTCGTGCCATTTTCCTAATTTGGTAAGTATACATTTATTTACTTGCATAACTACTCACTTTCCATTTTATTTGTAGTTGACGTGCAACTACATGTGAATTGCAAAACTCAACAATTAATGTTACACTCATACAAGTAATTTCACACAAAAAAAAATTCACTTTTGATATTCTTTTTTCCACATTACGTACATGTCCACCCTAAATTACAATCAATACTTTACACTTGCATTGTACACTGCCAAACTCAACATTGTCCACTTTTTAACTTACTATATACCCAAATACGAGAAACATCACATTGCGTATTTAAAATTCACACAAGCTTATCCACACCATAGTACCACCCACTATGTATCAATCTACTCCACACCATTAAGTTAATCACCAATCGGCAATATTTGTTAAGCCGACATTCCACTTTCTCAATAAATTAATTAAATCACCAACTTTGCACTTTTAAAAGTAACTATTTATTTCCTTAATAAATTTTAATTATCATATTTTACTACAATTTATAGCACATTCATATTTTTTTTCAAACATTTCCACTTATTCTACCCGTTCACATTTTCCACACATATTGTATGTATGTCACTTTTTAGCTCGATCTCTTGCCTCTATTTTGTCTACGTTAATCTCCACTGGATTTAAAGTGGTCTTGCAGTCATAAATTAACATATTCCCTTGTCTACACTTCTTCCATCTATGAATCCACTAATGGTATTTCACAATGAACATACAAATAACGTGGCTATTTTGACACTTTTTGGTTTTAACTATCCACCATCAAACCATATTTGTAGAAAGTGCAAACTTCTACACTTTCCTACTTTAGCCAGTAACAATTAATTGGAGAGGAGACAATGCCCGACTTTGTCTGCCACCGCCGCCACCGGAGTGCCCCGCTACCAACGTCCTGCCCCGCCACCGACGGACTGCCCTGGTTGCCCAAGGGAACGGGGGGGGGGGGGGGGGGGGGGGGGGAATAATTAATCAGAATAGGGGTTTCTGCCGGTCACCGGAGCTCCACCGCCACCGCCACCACCGGATCGGAGTACCCCCGCTACCAACGCTCTCCCCCGCCACCAACGCTCTCCCCCGCCACCAACGGACTCCCTTGGTTGTCCAAGGGAACTGGGGGGGATAATTAATTAGAATAGGGGTTTCCGCCGGTCGCCGAAGCTCTGCCACTGCCACCGCCACCGGACTGCCTCCGTTACCAACGCCCTGCCCCGCCACCGACGGACTGCCCCGGTTGCCCAAGGGAACTATGGGTGGCAATAATTAATTTGAATAGGGGTAAAAAAATTAATGTTTACTCCTATTTGGGGAAGATTAGGAGTTAACTCTTATTTAGGGAAATGTGTTATGTTTTACTCCTATTTAGAGCAATTACTTAAAACAAAATAACGGGATTTTTCTAGGCTTTTAGGAAGGGGGAATCAGAAAAGGCTATTTCGATTGGGATGATGGGCGTGGGTAGATTGACTGGGACGGGGAGGGGGCAATGCAAATGTAAAATCTGATTGTTCTCTTAGGTGATGTAACTTTTTTATTTGTACTCTACTTTTTAAAAATAATATCAAAATTCATTACTTTTTATGATCTTTTTAATGACACAAATAGTCCATAATTTTTTTTTGAAGTTTCAACTGTATAAAGTTTTACGATCCTAACTTTTTTCATAAATAGATTCATTTGCTAAAATTAAGATCTCATTGTTATTTTTTTGCATTTTTCATTTATTTTGAAATTGAGATTTTAATTTTAGCACTTGGATCTACTTAAGAAAAGTTTTGAATATGAAAACCTCCTACTATTGAAATTTTATTTTTTTTAAAAACTTTATATATGCAATATTTGTGTCATATGAAAGATCATAAAAAGTTACGAATTGTAATACTTCATCCGTATTTTAAAGTTTGCTACATTTTCTTTTTAGGATGTATTTAACAGTTTATTACATTTTCCCCTTTTATTATGTTTTTCCTTTAAAAATTCTGAATTACTAATACTTTTTCTATTTTCTGTCTTTGTCTTTCATACTTTTCAACTTTCTCTCCTACTTATTCTACACTATTCATTACCTCTAATATTTCTTCATTAAATAATGTGCCAAGACCAATGTAGCATTCATTTAAATACGGAGGGGGCATATTTTTAAAACAATTGGAGAACAAATAAATAATGAGATAATTACCCTAGATATTACTAATACTCAATCACTTTTCCAATCTATGACCTAGTGAGTTTTTTTCTCAAAATATAGTTAAAATTCGTAATAATTAATTAATATATTAATAAATAATTAAATAAATTATTTTTTATGACTAATATGCCCTTAGAATATTATTATAAAAGCTTAATATCCTCTTGCTTTTAACCCTAATTCATTTAGCTATGTCCCCTGCGTACAAATGTCATACATGCCGCCGCCCTACGTACAACGCCGCCGCCGCCCTACGTACAGCGCCGCCTCCCTATGTACGACCATTATTCATGTAGATCGGCAGCCTCATGGTCGTGAACTGCGAACAGGATGCGATTGACGGCCAAGAGGTGGGGCTGGTGCGAGGAGATGCCGTGAGGGACTGGTGAAGAGGACGACTTGACAAGCTGCGCCTTCGCCGCCCATGGATTGGAGAACCAGAACAAATTGAGTTTGAGATGAATCCTGAGTTCCAACTTGCCGCTTGAATTTGTTATTGTTTGATTAGGATTTCCGCCTTCGCCGCCCATGGAGATTGGAGAACCAATTGGGTCTGAGATGAATTATGAGTTTCAACTTGCTTCCTGAATTTCTTGAATTTGTTATTGTTTGAATAGGATTTGTTATTGTTTGATTAGGAGTTCCATGAATCTGAGATTGAATTCTGGAATTTCCGATTGCCATTTGTATTTGTTGAGATTAAGATTTCTTGAATTTATATTTTGTGGGCATTAAACAGAGGCATTGAACATTGGCAGTGAATATTTTAATAAGTGGGCAGTGATATGGTAATAGACATGTTGTACATGACAATGAATGAATGCATTAAAAAAATTGTGGTGCAGGTATTTATGATTATAACCAGTATTGTAGTAACACAGAGCAGTAATATCATCATAAAATACAATATATACTTAATTAGATGTAAAATATTAAAATTATTAAATCTAAAAAAGTCCTCAAGTGAATGAGAAGAGAATTAATTTTAGCGGAAGTGCAGTGATTATTAACGGAAGTGCAGTAAAGTTGTGCATTAATGTCGTGCAGTAACGGCAATATAAAGTGCAATAATTTTAATTGGACGAAATCAGTGAGAAATGCTCATATTTCAAATAAGGGTATTTTTGTCACTCAACCTTAAAAATAAACGAGATTATTTTATTTTTTTGGATTTTTGGTCATACAAAACTCTAAAAACTAGTTAGGTCATAGATTGAGAAACTCATTCAGTTTTTAGTCATATCATGGGAAATTTCCCATAAATAATTAAGTTACAACACTTCAAAAAATTGATTAGAGAATTCTGATCCCGTATTTTCATTAATAAAGTGGTTGAAAAATAATAAAAACCACACATTTTTTGAAACATGATATTCATTTTGGGAGAACCCTAAAAGAAATATACTCCGTAAGACAAATAAATAATGTATGTGACATAAGAAGTATTAAATATATGGATATGTTATACCGGCCGTACCTTCTTGGGCGATGATGACGACGTGGTGAAAGTAATTTGGGATGATGAATTGACACTGTTTAAGCATTTGGCTGTGTAGATGCTGTAGATATCTATCTCGTGGTACTGCTTATACATTTCATCTAAAGCATCACCACAATTCTTATTGCTCCACAAATCAGAGCTACTAAAATCACAGTTATCTTTCACTGTTTTGTAGGTTTCATCTGAGATTATAGCATGGCTCCAAGCATAATCGACTATACCCCTCCAGTCCTCTTCATCATTTGTTTCTGGGTTGCCCATCTGCATACATGCATCTCTTACATGTTATTTAGTTATCAATCAATTTGATATACTACACATTAACAAACCCATAATTAATTGGGCGCCTCCACTTAAAACGAGGTCAGACATAATTTTGAAAAGGCCTAATAAAAAGAAAGTTTTACATAACTTAGGATAGAGAGAGTGTATATTAATACCATTATTCCTTTAAGCTGAATGGGAAGAGTATTAGAAGGGTCTTTGTTTTTTGCCAATAATGAGGTCTGCCAACTCAGGTATATATTTCCCTGTAATTCTCAGCTCAAAACATCATCAAATCGATCATATATATCATAGTTGAAAGTAATTAGGTACAATAATTACACTAAATAATTTAATTTAATTAACTTCATACCTGCATAACTCTCCCCAGCTATATAGAAGGATTGGTTTCTATAAGTTGGGAACTTCTGGAACCAATTGTTCAGAAACGTGTATGCATCGTTTGCTATATACAAAGTGTGTATGTATATTAAAGGTCATAAGAAACGTAGATATACAAGGATCATATACTATTTAAAGTGGTTTTACCATACAAGATTCATACTACGTAAATGATTAGTACCATCTAGTATATATATGAGAAAATTATTAGAAGTATGATTAAAAGAGGTGCTAATTCATGAAATATGACTAAATACTTTTATTCCTAAATTAATGTTGTTTTCCATGTATGGTATGTTTTGATGTTGGTTTTCCCTCCATTTTAATTATTACTCATATAAAGGCATGTTTCAGTTGGTAAGTCATATTTTTACAAAGCTATGAATTGAATATTTTAGTCATAGATAGATAAAATTTCCTATATATATATATATATATATATATATATATATATATATATATATATATATATATATATATATATATATATAGAGTAGTCTTCCGGTCAGGTATACCTGACCGGAGCCCCGTCCGGCCTCCTCCATTTGGGGGCCTTCCCGGTGGTATTTTTTGCTCAAATTTTTTGTGTAGGTTCCTCATCAAGTCTAGTTCATCCATACCAAATTTCAGCCAAAAATTCAATCGGGAAGGTCGTCAAATGATTTTTGCAAGTTAACTGGTCCGGAAAATACATATTCCGGACCAGTTAACTTGCAAAAATCATTTGACAACCTTCCCGATTGAATTTTTTTCTGAAATTTGGTATGGATGAACTAGACTTGATGAGGAACCTACACAAAAAATTTGAGCAAAAAATACCATCGGGAAGGCCCCCAAATGGAGGAGGCCGGACGGAGGGAGTGGTCCGGCCTGGCCGGACCTGAACTTTAGTGTATATATATATATATATATATAATTATATATGCATGAGTGTGTTTGTGTGTGTGTGTGAGAGAGAGAGAGAGAGCTACATTACCCATATAAAAATGGTACTTATACCTATCATGCTTTGATTGATCCAAGTAATTAATGTATCATTTATTTATGTTTAAATTCCGCAATTGCATTATTTTAATTGGTCCATGTGGACAAGATATGTTACCTCGAAGATACCATTGAATTTGATATAAGTATATATAATACGTAGTATACTATATTAACAGGTGTGTGTTTGTGTGTGTGCGCTACAGAGTAATATATATTGCTAGAAAGATATACATACTAGCAAGTTTATCTCCCAGCTTCACATAGTCAGTACTCGTATTTGTATATGAGAAGCCTACACCGATTGGAGATTCCAAGAACAATATGTTCGCTTCTGCATGTATTGAATCATTAATAGTTAAAGAAATTGCTTAAAAGAACGGTAAGTCATTCTATGTATCGTAACAGTAATTATATTTTTTTTTTACTTAAATATGACTTATTTCTATTTGAGAAACTTTAATTTGTCATGATTTACTCTTCATTAAGGAATTTTTTCTAATAGTATGCGAGTTCATTTTTTAAAAATAAAAGACCTGTATTTTTTATTAAAGCCCCACACATAATAAAACAATCCACAAGTAAGTATTTTATTGTGGTCCCATCTAATTTGGTTCGATCTAATCTATTTAAGTGTGTTCATGTATGTTTAACTCTAATTTGGTATATATTTGGTGTTTGTGTATCTTACTATTGTCTAGATTTAATCAGGTCTGATTTGATTTAATTTGTGGACGTCTATTTAAGTCTCATATAAAACTAAAATCAATCTAAGTGAAATTTTTTAAAACATCTTAAGACTCAAATCAAGTCAATCATCAATTAATTACCAATAAACGGAGTACAAAATAACATATATGATCTTGGGTATGTACGTACAGTACTTAAACTCACTATGCATTTACCATTTTAATTTTCTTCATACAAAACGCATGTTCAAAAATATGATAAAAACAGTTTATTTCCTAAAATAAAACCTCTTTATCAATCCCAAAATGAGAACTTGTAATGGTTTTATTTCTTTTAAGAGCTAAACAAGTTATGCTTTTACAACAAAAGGGAAAAGGGGCAAATGAGCCCACGTACTATACAAAAAAAGGTCAAATAAACCTTTATATAGGAGGCTCTGTCTGGCCGTCGCCATTTGAGCCAGTTCCCGGTGGAATTTTTTGATGAAATTTTGTGATCATCGTATTCGTCAAGTCTAGTTTACTCATACCAAATTTCAGCTGACAATACAATCGGAAAGGCATTCAAATGAATTCTTGAAGATAACTGCGCAGTTATTTTCAAGAATTCATTTGAATGCCTTCCCGATTGAATTTTTAGCTGAAATTTGGTATGTGTAAACTAGACTTAATGAATAATATGCTTAAATCATTTCATAAAAAAATTCCACCAGGAATCACCCAAATGGCGACGGCCGGACATAGCCTCCTATATAAGCTAATGGCTTATTTGACCTTTTTTTGTTAGTACGTGGGCTTATTTGCCCCTTTTCTCTACCACAAAACAATAATCCTATAATTATGGGCACAGCGCAATAGGTAGTTCTATTGGTAGAAATGTGTTATACTTTTACGGAGTAATATTATTCATGAAAATTGTCAATATTAAACACACCAATATTCCATGAGTATGGATTGATTGCCAAGCGACTTCCGTTGCCGTCAATAAGGAAAGGGCCAATCTCTTGAGATGCTCCATATCCTACGGACGAACATCCCGGACCTTAAAACAAAGAGATAAACACACAAATTAAAGCTTTTTTTACTCACATAATTAAAGAGAAGGTGATAATACTAATACTGCAAATTCATTAAATAACACGGAGTAATTGTAAGGATGAACGTCAGGTTTAATTAAGCCAAGCTGGTTAGGGGGTCTGAATTAAACTCTGAAATAATAATGAATGAATATTGATGATATAGCATGAGATTAAATATCTACGGGGAAAGACAATGCCACATGATGAACATATATTCTTAATTGAGAATATAATGCCTTACTACCTTGGCCTCTCATTTTTGGTCAAAAGACTGAGCTGAGTCATTTGGGTTGTAACAAAACGAAAACGGTCTAAAAACTTTTTTATCCAATCAGACAGGAGAAATTTCTTCCCTCAAGCATCGCCCCTCCTAAAGTATCTACTAAGAGTAGAAGATATTCTTCACATAGTCGGGCTATCTTTTAGGAGGTGCAAAAAGGTGCTTGACACCAGAGCTCACTCTATAGGTGTCCTCCAAAAATTTAGTATGTAATAGTAATTATAGGTTGATTTTTTTTGAATGTTGTGTATTATTCCAAATTTTAAATGGTCTATAATTTTTAGATTATCTAATTTGTATACTTTAAACATTATAAAACTTATATTTCACTGAATTATGTAGTCTATTTATATTTTATTGTTAAATTTTGTATCATTTCTTGTTTTAGGGGCGCCTCAATTCGTCATTTGGAACCAGGGCCTCCAAATTCATTAGACGGTCCTGCACATAGGACAAGAATTATTATTATTATTATTATTATTATTATTATTATTATTATTATTATTATTATTATTATTATTATTTTATTATTATATTATTATTATTATTATTATTATTATTATTATTATTATTATTATTATTATTATTATTATTATTATTATT